CAGGGAGTAGGTCTAAGCCACCAGGAGGACATCCCCGGAAGGGTCCCAGACTGTGAGAGGGCACAGGCCAGGCTGAGGGACCCCTCTGAGTGTACAAATTTTTGTGCACTGGGCCTCTAGTTAAACTATAATCTTTAAGTCTTACAGTATTGGTTTTTTTTGTTTTATTTTGTTCATTGGGTTCCCATTCCCATTCCCCCACCTTCCTGATTTCTATTGTAAACTTATTCAAAGTGAGTACATATATGCTGGCCAAATTTGAATTATATTCCTAGCATGTACTATATACATGTTGCTTTCCTTCCCCATGTCAATACTGCCATGTTATGACTTAATTAGGTAACTGACATACAAATGAACAGCTAATGAAATTATAAGAGATATACTGATATAAAAGTACAGTCTAGAAGTTTTGAATGCAGTCCCAAACTTAATGTCCATCACTGGTAACCTAGCTTGCTTGTGAGTATCATAACTTCAATTTACAAAATAAGAGCCCCAAGAACATGAAATATCTATTGCATGTTGACTAGATATTGATATACATGGAGACTAAGATGCCACTACACTTAATCATCAGCCTTTCTCCACAGAAATCCTTGAACTGACAAATTCAAAGTGACTTTGATAGTGTCATCTCCTGGATAAACAACATTTTATTTCTCTATTTTTAAAATAGTGGCAACTTTTATCTGATATTTTCATAATACATTATGCTTTCATAATACAAAGAATGTCAGATACATAAGAGCTCACTGGGTCACTAATGAGCGTGCTCAACAAATGGTATCCCTGTTTGAAAAAACAAAGAACATACAAACCTCTACCCAAAGCCCAGGCTCTACATCTGGGCCCTGCCTGGTCAAGAAAGATGCCAAGTCCAAATACTGGAAGCCAGTCTACATTTACATTTTCTAGTCTCATCTCACATTTCCATTCACAAGTTGAGTTCAGAACCCCAAACAGCTGCCATATGTTGCAATTTCTTTGTCTTAGAGGTTGATGTGGAATCAACCAGGCATAGTAACATCTTCAGTCCATGAAGTGTGGTACATGAGATTTAACCTCAGCACCATACAATGGCTGTAAGTAACCCAAGCCTATCATCAATTTTCAAAATGTAAGAAAGATATGATGTCAGGGTCGAGGTAGAGGGAATAAGTTAAAGCAACATTCAGTCAGGTTGTGAGGAGGGTTTGTTACAAAGGAGGACACAATTTGTTTGTCTTCCATAGCAGGTGATTCTCAACACACAGATAATTACAGATAAGAGCCAAAATCTCTTGCTTCCAAAAATGTGAGCAAGATATCAGTTTTCTAGCTATCTGATCATTCCTTGCACCAATAGCCCACAATGATGGGCCCATAGATCATATTTGATTCTCCCATGAAGAGAACTAAAGTACTTTGGTCTCTTGGCTTTGCAAACTACCTTCTTTCTCCTGAGGCAAAGATATAATAAAAACCCCGAAGAGGAAAAAAAAAGAGAAGAAATGGAAACATGCTCCAACTTGCAGGCCTTCAAGTGGCTAACAGTCAAGGAACTTTCTGTGCTTCCTATCTGGTGTTGATTTGTTGGAGGCTCTGGATTTTATTTTGCATAAGTTCATTAGCTACCAAATTCCAGATGAAAATATGAATAGTAGATTGATTGTGCACATGGGTGGTATCTGTTGCAAGGAAACTGCCTGCTTCATTTTTTAACACATATAACACAGAACAATTAATTCTCATATCTCTAGTGAGAATTATTTAATCTCCATAGAGTTCCAGTGCTCTTGGAAGGTAACAAGATTTCTTCAACTTTTTTCCTTTTTTGCTCAGCATGACATTATACTGAAAGCTTCACAGGGCGAGGTATAATGAGGAATGAACTACATGAGGCTTTCACAATGTATAGAATTTCACTGATTTCTGATTGAAACCAAAATTACTAATCTGAAGCACCATCTAATTAAAACCACAGCCATGTATTTAGCCTTTTGTTATACCTACTTCAGTTTATAATTATGAGGATCTCTTCATGTACTCAATTAAATTTCTTATGATTCAGGCAGGTTGTATTTGAACCTGTAAGTCCATCAGAGGCCACAGGAAAGCATATGCCTGTCTCCTGATGATCTGATGTACCTTTACACTCCCAGGATTATTTTCCAAAGAAACAAAGGGCTCCACAGCCCATGAAGAAATTTACAAGCCAGAAATCTGAATTAATTAACATGCTATTTTGTCTAAATAATTCAAATTTATTTACACTGATGAGAACAGGGTGAATTGGTCCTAGCAGTATGAAAACCCACTTTCATATTGGGAAGTTGAGCCAATAAACTGAACTCATGGACTGTTCACTCTTAGCATGTTAACATGTCCTTTCAACATTTTTCTCC